GTTGGCAACACTGTTGCAATGACCAAACCAAAGCTCAACCTGACTGAAATACTGTGACAGAGAGTTGTAAATGAATGCCCACAAACTTTAATGTAACCAAAGCAACATTGTAAAAAAAAAAGCGGGCCAATATCCTTCCACAATTATGTGAGAAAATGAAAAAGTCATCCCCCCAAAATTTAAATACTCAAAGTAATTTCCGTTAAAGGTTATTCTATAAATTGTGTCCTTAGGGAAGCAGTGGAAAAAATGGAGATGGGTAAGAAATGGCACCCTCAATTAATGCAAAAGTCAAATGGGAAAGTAATTTGACAGCAAATTATAAAAGCAATGAGTATATGGAAAATTTTGCCCACTAAATTAAAGAAAAGAACTATATATGTCAGAAAACTTCAAAGATCAGGCCATTTGTTGGTTTAACACATAAGTTTAGGTCAAAAAATTTTGTAGAAGGCAAAAGTTATGGGAAGGAATTCAAGTTAAATAAACATTGTATTGTAGCTACAACATGACAGAACAAAATATATTGGAAACAAATTAAAGCAACATTTTTATTATTCGGTTTGCAGCACCAAAAACTCATCAGTCATTACAAGCAGTCTCTTCATTTGCATTTGTAAGAAAGATACAATACTGATAACATTTGGTTGAAATTTACCACAACACAAAACACAACAGAAGCGGTATAAAACAGCAGACATAGATAAAAAAAAAACAACAACAACACAGGAAAGCTCACAAAAAAGAAAAAAAAATCTCATAAGACACAACAAAAGTGTCTTTTGGTGAAACACTAATGTGATGAACCAAGTGGTGAAGTTACATTATTAGTAGGGATGAGAACTGATAAGAAATTAGCAATTATGATTCTGTTATCGATATCACTTATCTATTTGTTCCTTATCGATTCTCATTGGCTCTGCTTTTAGAGTCACCACTCTCACTAAGCATAATATCAAAGACGTTACAAAAAAATTAATTGCATGCTGTGTGGTCAAACATTTGTGCATTTGTTGTAATCAGTGTTGGGGTCATTAATAATAGTAAATTTAAAAAAATACTGCACACTAACACAGAAAACCTTCCTTAAAAACAGTCCACTATGTTTCTTCATT